TGAGTGATCCTGGAAAGACTAGATCAGTTAATGCAGACAGATCTTTCAGATTCGCCTCCAGTCCATTATATGAGACCTTATGTCCAAGGTACTCCACCTTAGGCATTCCCCAAAAACTTTTAACCACACTGATCGACAGGTTCCACTGATCACATGCTTCGAGCAACCCCTCGACTCGGTCACATAGTTGATCCCAGTTATCGGCGGGAATCAGGATGTCATCGATATATGATCTGCGACCAAGCACCGAAGGCTTGCCCGGATCCGCCGGTTCCCCGTCCTCGAACACATCCAAAGCACTTCCGTGATCTTCAGACTTCGGGATCCGGGTGAACCCATATAGCGCGTTGTCGATCATACGTTGATATATCTTGGGCGCATTCTTCAAGACAAAAGGCATTCGATTCCACTCAAATAACCCAAAGGAAGTGATAAAAGCCGAGATCAACCGAGCACGATCCATCATTTTCACTACCCAAAATCCACTTGCCATGTCCAAGGAGCAGTACCACAGTGTCGACTCCAGATCTTCGAGTAGATCGTTGATCAAGGGCATTGGGTATACCATCAGTTGTGTCAGACTATTAACCAACCGATAATCGATGCATAGCCTGATATCCACCCCATTCTTCTTGATGATCACCACGATTGGGGAAGCCCATGGTGATCTGGAATAGTTGGTCATCTTGGCAGACAATAGTCCCTTGACCAGGTCTGCGACCTTCTCTCTGAACTGGATCCGCAACTTACGGCACTTGAGGGCGATAGGTCTCGCTCCCCCGACATCGATATCGCACACGACGCCTCTAGCCGCCGGCGGAAGGGCATTTCCCTTACCGATCAAGAGATGTCGGAACTTCCAGATCTTTTGGCTAAGTCGTTCAATTTCTTCTGGAGTCTGGTTATCAGATCCGCATAGTTGAATATCTTCGATCCTCACATCTTCCGTCGTCACAGGTACTTCTGGCAGCACCGCCATCTGGCCATCGACGTCTTCGGCGTATAGATCGCTTCCTTCATGGTAATACACGCATTCATCGTAATCTTGAACTGAGTCCCAGGTAAGGTCCAGATCCGATGTGCCTGGTCGATCTTCAACAACGGGTGATGGATCCATGTTATATTTGGCAGCATAGATGCGGCGCACTTGTCGTTCAACGGATCACCGCTCACCTGTCCTGTCCCAGGCTTTGATGGCAGATCCGCCCCCCCGCGTTCCGACGGCGATGCTCCTTGATCTTGATCTCTCAAATGTGGCTGATCCGGACTGACTTCCTCGATTTCATTTCGGTCATCTTCTTCCCGCATTGCTCCCATGTCTGTAGTTCTCTCCACCAGCGGATGTATCACCCACATTTCCAGCGACACTTGATCGAGATCTTCTAGCGCCTCCTTGACCGTTACGGCATGCGATATAGAGTCTCCGTCTGCGATAGACGACAGACCCGACTTCCAACGGTCGCATCTCCGACGGCGACTTGTCCGACGGCGACTTGTCCGGCGGCGACTCGTCCGAGGGTGGGCAGTCAGGAATACCTAGATCCTGGCTCGCCTTGACTTTCCGACGCTGGATCAACGTTGCCTTCGGTCTTTGGAGTATTGCGCGCGGAGTTTTATACTCGGGCCGCTCCACCGCGGGCACCATCGGGTTCTTGACCTCCATTTCTTCGGATCGGGTGTCAGTCGTAGCTTCCAACGCTAGATTCTGCCACTCCGTGTAACGACGAGAGCCGACCGAGATAAAACCTGGTATCCGCGGCACATGATCCCCAGCCAGCCAGA